TATATATATGTATATTGTGTTTGTGTGTATATGTGTGTGTGTGTGTGTGTGTGTGTGTGTGTGTGTGTGTGTGTGTGTGTGTGTGTGTGTGTGTGTGTGTGTGTGTGTGTGTGTGTGTGTGTGTGTGTGTGTGTGTGTGTGTGCGTGCGTGCGTGCGTGCGTGTGCGTGTGTGTGCATGCATGGGTGGGTGCATGCATATGCATGTGTTAATATTACATATATTGTATGTATTAGAGAATCTGCAATATCCTTCAGGCAAAATTATTCTTAATTCATAATTCACTCGCTGTTGTTCATACTATAGAATACCTAGAAAGACAATTCAGATGTGCATTTTTCAAACCTTTGCAGCCTGCTAGTAATGAAGGCCATATGACACTTGGGCTGATTCAAAGAAAATGATACTGCTCATGTGTACTTTCCCAGAGACACTCCTGGGTGGAAAAAGCTGGTGGGAACAGTCCAGCAGTGCACCCTCCTCAGAACTGATCTAACTGATTGATTGACATAAAAAAAATCACTGCTCATCTCAGTACCTGATCTATCAGTTCTTAAAAATAATCCGTTTTCATTAATCAAATCTTGGCTTTTCAGGGCCAGTGCTACAGGGAGTTGGTAAAACAATTCTAGTTTTATCAGGGAAAGGTGGAGTTGGGAAAAGCACAGCAACAGTTCAGATAGCAGCCACACTTCGGGGAAAAGGGTATAGAGTTGGTATTTTAGATGTCGACCTCTGTGGCCCCTCAATACCACGAATGGTTGGGGTCGAAGGCAAGGACGTCCTAACAACTCCAGAAGGGTGGGTGCGGTTTTATATCTGAATTCTTGAAAATAATTCCTTAAAGTATGACATATTTTTTCTCATAATTGTGCTTCTTTCTGTACCATTTTCTTTATTGTTCTGACCACTACTTTTCTGTGCAGTGTAACAAACTAGGATGCAGTGGTTTAGTGCTACTTTTTCAATATATATTTTTTCTCATTTCCAGTAACTGGGTTCCAGTGTATGCAGATAATGAAAAAAGATTAAGCATTATTTCCATTGCATTTTTCCTAGACTCAAAAACTGATGCTGTCATTTGGAGAGGTCCAAAGAAAAACGGTGAGGTTATAAATTTTATTGTTTATAAATAAAATCAAATACTTCAAAAATAATAAGACTGAAATGGGTGCAGTATTTGATATAGTTCACCGAGTCTAATTTTTGAGTGGTCAAGTATTCAGTTTTTAAAATTTATTTTACTCCATTTGAATGGCAGCAATGATCAAGCAGCTGTTAACAAGTGTAGCTTGGGATGTAGACTACCTTATAGTGGACACTCCTCCGGGCACTTCAGATGAGCATATATCTGTTATGGAAAACATCAAGTAAGTTTTTTTATTTATATTTTTTGGATAATTATTCTAGTTCATGAGAAAAATGTAAAGTTTTTGGTTATACCATATTATACTTAGAAAATTTATTTGTATTTCTTAATTTGTTTTACACAATGCAAGATTTGCAAGATTTGTTATTTATTTATTTATTTGTTATTTATTATTATATTTAAGTTATGCAAGATTTGGTATTCATATTAAATACTAGGCACTTGCTAAGTTGATACAACATTTAAGTTCTATATGGTTAATGGTTAATGGTTAAAAGTGAAATAAATGTGCTAGACATCTAAGGTCATATAGCTCTATATGAAGATATATAGTAAAGGGTGATGTCAGGTGATAGTTGCTATGCGTCAACTATCTAGAGTAATGTTGAAAAGTTTAAGTTGGGTAAGGGTGTTGATGAGGGAAAGGGTTATGGTGGTTTAGGTAAGGGAATTAGATCAAGTGAAGGATATTTATGCATTTGAGGAAGGAGAACAGGTTGTTATAAGAAGCAAGGATATGACGTAGGTCTAGTCTGTGAGAAAAGAAACTGCGAATATTCCAATGTAGGAGAGCTATATCTTAGGTATTTTATGAGTGAAAGCACCCGTACTTGTAGGGGAATCAGGGGGGGAAGGAGCTAGGGGGTGTTGTGACATGAGTGATTCCCGTGTGTATCCGGGAGGGAGTGGAAAGGATAGAGGGGATGGAGGGAGGGAGAACGTGCGTATAGTTGGAGTTGAAGGGCGTGGGTTGTGTTGGGAGGTAGTAGAAGGAAGTGGTGTGGGGGGAATATTAGTAGTAGGAGGATGAATATCGGAAGGATGGATAGTTGGAGTTGAAGGGGATGTGTTGTCTTGGGAGGGATTAGGAGGAAGGGGTGTAGGGGTGTTATGAGTAAGAGGGGGATGGATTTCAGGAGGATGGATATCGGTGGTGGATGGAATTGAGGGGGTTAGGTTGTGTTGAGAGGGAGGAGGAGGAAGGGGTGTAGGGGGAATATGAGTAGGAGGGGTATGGATATCGGCAATCACTTCAAGTGTGGAGGGAGCACAAGTTATTGAATTTTGTGTCTCAAGCATATAGCTCTGATTGTCTTCCATAGTTTCTGCAGTGGAGTTTGTTGGAGAGTTTTGTGGGACAAAGGTTTTCTTATGAGGTGGGGAAGAAGAGACTGGTGTCTGAGGAGTAAAGGTAAAGGTAGGTGGAGGTGAGTGTGCGGTAGGGGAAGAAGGGGTGGAACGTTTCGTCTGTCTACTGCAGGTAGTGCGGGGAGGGAGAGGGGATGGTGTTGGGGCTGTAGTTGAGATTGGGGTGTCTGGATTTAGAGTGGCAAAAGAATTTGACTGGGGGAGGTTGAATGTAGAAGTGGAAGTGGGGAAGTAAGTAGGTATAGGGGAGGGTATGGGAACATCTTAAGGTGGAGGGGGAGGGGCAGAGCGAGCGACATTACTGGAGTAGGGAGTATAAGAGAAACCTTGTCGATGTGCTTCCTCTCTGGCTTCACGTAGAGTGAAACCATTTTTGTATCTGAGAGCTGCTACCTCAGACTCAAACTTGTAAGTGGGATAGCCTCTATAAAAGACATTATGGGGGTGGCTGCAGTTAGCACATGTGCGTGTTTGTGCAGGGCAGTTTGATCTGTTATGACCAGGTTGGGCACAGAGGGGGCATCGGTCTGAGGAGCGGCAGTGTTTGGCAGGATATCCAAATCGCCAACAATTTTGACATTGATGGGTTGTAGGAGTAGAGTTGATGAATTTGAGGAAGTTGGGAGGGTAGAAACTTCTGGAGATTGAGTCTGCTTAGGTGGGTAATGCACTAGTAGGCATTGAGGAGTGGGTAGTAGTTTCAGTGGTCGGAGTCGTGGTCAAAGGAGAGCCTGGGGTCGGGGAGCCGGTGGGGCTATTTGATGAAGGGGCAAGCCTCATTGCCCCTAATAGGGGTATTACATCTTCATTACTGGCCATGGGAAGTCTTGATTATGCAAAGGGAAATAAACAGTCCACCCACTAGTGCCGTGTAAGGGGGTAAGGGCTAGACAACTAAATTGGGAGTACCGCGCCCATGGTTCCCGCGGACCGTTCAGGACTGGCACAAGGTCAGCCTTTCATCCTTTCAGCACGGCTCTTACACCTTAGGAAGTAGATAGTAGAAGGGACTGAAACAAAAAGCTGGAGGGGGAAAAGACCATGCAAAATTAGTTGAGGGCTAAGGCCCTAGACAGGGGAGATCCCTGCATTGGGTCTCAGTCTCCGTCTCCTAAGCCCCCCTCCACAACAACAATGGGCAGGGGATTGGGGTGGGTGGGGTGGGGGGTTAGGTTGTGTATGTTGCATTTGAATTTTATTTATATATTAATTAGTGTAACAAAGGCATAAGACAGATTTTTTAACAGCATTTATCTTTAAGGTCTGCTCCAGTAATGGGTGCTGTTCTTGTAACAACACCTCAAATGGTGGCTGTGGACGATGTTAATAGAGAATTGACATTCTGCAAGCGAACGGGCATAAATGTACTTGGTATCATTGAGAATATGTCTGGATTTGTGTGTCCAAGTTGTTCAGTAAGTAGCACTGTATAAGCAGTTTTGTGTTCTACATGTATATTTTTTTTTGTTCACAGTCATAGTTTTTTTTTTTTCACTTATTTCTCTCATATTTTGTAATGAGAGAGACTTGCTTTCTTAATTCTTTGATTCCTTTACTAATGTGAATTGTAAATATAGTAAAATACTCAATACTGATTTTAAATATGTATAATAGTTGTCTTTAATGAATATGAATTCACACAGGAATGCAGCAACATCCTTGCAACAGGAGGTGGAGAACAACTTGCAGCCAAGGCAAAAGTGTCCTTTTTAGGTCGAGTGCCAATTGACCCGAATCTTGTCAGATGTACAGAGGAAGGAAAAAACTTCTTAGATATGTTTGCTGGTTCTCCAGTAAGTGAGGTTTACCACAACATAATTTACCAGCTTGTAGGAGAGAACCAAGAGGAAATGGAAGTAGAGAATTGAAGAGGTTCTATAATAAATTTTAGATTTAAATTTTTTTTTCTTACCAAATAATTGTTTATTTGTATAAAATGGAGATTAATTGTGACATAGTTTGGTAATAAAACAAGGTAAATTGTTTTGTAACTTCTCTATAACCTATGAGACGTGAACAAGCCCTGCAGAAAAGTTTTATTGCAGTTAAGAAGTCAGAGTATGACAAAGGGCGTTTTTAATTCCAGTATATTTCAAGGAACTGTATTTTTGTTTGATTTATGAAGATAGTATTTTAAAACAAAAGCTTATAATGTAGCAGATGTTTATATTGACTCTAGAACATTAATAGGTAGTTAATTTTCTAAATCTGAGGTCATAGCTTCTCTCTAGCAGTAAACCTGAAAGAACAAGCTTAAATTTTAATCTCCTTGAATATCCCATAGCTTCAAGTTTTCCACAAATACACTTATAAGTGAAAATTAAATGTAGAAAGAATTTAGTTGTTAATGTGAGTATCTGCAATATTTTAATGTACTATGTAGTTTTCTAATTTTAGGTTTGTTTATCTCAGATAGTCATAATTTACTTGACCATCAAGAAACAATCTAAACTTAAAATAATATTTTGCTTTCTAAAATTTGCATTATGTATAGTCATATATCAATTTCTCCCTTTACTAGGTTTGTTCCAAAATCCAAACTTATATTGTATGGCAAACTATTAGTTGTTCAGCATGGTTTGGCTTTTTTTTTTTGTACATAACCAACTGAAATTAATTTCTATAATTTGTTTTAAGAAATAGCTGAGGGTAGTATGCATAATTACTATTATTTATTATTATTGTTATTTATTTATTTATTATTATAATTCTTTAATGCCAGCGAGGCATTTAAAATGTGTATGATAAAAGACCAATTGGTAAGATCTGATGATGATGATAATAAAAATCAAGACACTGTACTTAGATATTACTTTCAAAGGACATGTTTAAGTGTCATTATATTAAGATTTAGCTTGCTATCTTCTCTACCTTTTTCATATTGCAAAGTAAAATATTGATTGAAGTATAATATCTGCCTCATTATTTAAGATAAGAATATTGATTACTGCCCTGATATCAAAAAGCAATACTGATTTAATGTGCAAAACCATAGTCACCATATAAAACAGATCTGAACAACAGAACCAATTTGTACAACAGGTTGAAGGACCTCAATGACAAACAGAAGGACAATGAGTATCTCTTTATGCTATTTTATAAAAGACTATTACATTGCATATGTCATATATGTGTTTAAAAAATATATACAGCATATTAAAA